AGCTCTGTATGGGGCTGAAACATGGACGCTTAGGGCAGTAGATCAGAAACATCTGGAAAGTTTTGAAATGTGGTGTTGGAGAAGGATGGAGAAGATCAGTTGGACCGATTATGTGAGAAATGAGGAAGTGTTAATTAGCGTCAGTGAACAGAGGAATATCCTACACGAAATAGGAAAACGGAAGGCTAATTTGATTGGTCATGTTTTACGCAGAAACTGCCTTCTAAACAAAGTTATTGAAGGAAAGATAGAGGGGCGGATAGAAGTGACAAGAAGATGAAGACATAAGAAAATGCTGGATGACCTTGGGGACAGAGGAGAATACTGTCATGTGAAGGAGAAAGCTCTAGATCGCAATAAGTGGAGGAATTGTTTTGGAAGAGACTGTGGAACTGTCATCTGACAGATTACTGATGATGATGGTGAAAGGAAGAGAAAAATACTCAGCTTCTCTTGCAGGATCAAGCTGTTGTTGACATGACTGAAGACTACAGAGAGGACTGTGGCACACATTTATTATGGCAATTTACTCACGTAAACTAAATGATGAAGTTGCTTCTAGAGATAAAATCATGTGCCTGTGTAACAGCCTGTCCTGGTAGGAAAGATTGGCCAAAAGAGCTTAGTGAATCTAAACAGCTGAAACTGAAGCACAGTGAATCTAGAAAGTTCCAACACAAGGATGAGACCCTGGTGGTATGGCACAATAACAGGGGTGTTCATCTCCCCTCTGCGAACTCAGACCCAAGAACTAATGGAAATGCAATCAAGAAAAAGTGGCAGAGTGAGAGAAGAAGGCAAAATTCCTTGTCCCAAAGCTGTAGTGAAATACACTCAAAATATGGGGGGAGGGTTTACATTTTGGATCAGAAAAGAAATATTATGGTGTTGGCCCCCCATAAAAATGATGGAAATAACTTTTTCACTTCATACAAAATGTATCTGTTGTTAAGAGTAGTAGTTTGTTTGATATGAGCAACAGGCCACTACGTAAGTATTGCTCATGGCAACAGGCACCTTCACTATAGAAGAAATCTTGTTTAACAAATGACTGGCAATTTTATATAGTGAAAACACAAAGGATGGAAATGCAGTGTCCTAATAAGTACTGCCATGACCAGGTCTCTTCACTCTCAAAAGAATTTAGGGCCCCATGAGAACCTGTGTGCAATGCATGGTAAAGGAATGGAAAACACAGTAAGGCCATGGCATTCAGACTGCATACAGATGCCAGCAGTGGACATCCCCCCTTGTATAATTGATTGTTTCTTGGAAAATCATCAGGAGTGAAGGGTTGATACACAAAACTAAGAAAGTGATTATTGTCAGATTTATGTGTTTTAACATGCTTAGAAGTGGCATAAAACATGTAACATTCTTATATACAGTATCAACACAAAGATCATGGGAAGATGAATGGTCAAATTCAAACGTGATATTATCACTGGGGTGAGTACTGGTAGTGTCAATTATAGGGATTCTGAATGAAGTAATAATTTATGAGTTAACATAATTTAAATTTTACAAGAGTTATGTGCCACTTTCCTCCAAAAAGTGTATCATATCCAGCTATAATATTTAAAATTTAAATATCCTTAGAATTAATTGTTCTCTACAGTCAAACCCAGAACTAGTATATGTGGGTCAAAGGGTTAAATTCAGACATCATACCTAAATGTCTGTCTGTTGCACCTTGTGTCTCTGAAACAGTGCACCGCAAAAAATAGTAAATGCACAAGATGTTCCTCTTGGAGAGGCAACAAGAGGAAAACTATTAATTTTGCTGATATGTGCATGGGTTTTAGTCTGAGGAAATTTCATTCCCAGTTCCTTAAGAAAAACAGTTTGAATGTGAGGACAGTGGTAATGAAATATGTTCTGAGGGTTATAAAAATGATCTCGCCATATCTGCTAAAACATGTACACCTTACATAGTAAAGCCAATTTTAGAATTGATCAATCCATCAGTCAGAGAAGGCATCTTCCCCTCTAAACTAAAAAAATCAGTAGTCAAACCAGTCTACAAAAATGGGATAAAAGAAGATGCAAATAACTGTCATCCAATTACTCTTCTACCTGCCCTTTCAAAAGTTCTGGAAACTGTAATAGCTAACCAGTTAATAGCATTTTTAGAAAAACACAATATACTTAATAAATCTCAGTTTGGATATAGGAAAAATAAATCTACTAATGATGCAATTGCCACAATTATTGAAAACATAATAGAAAGTTTGAATGATAAAATAAAATGCAACTGTGTACTATTAGACTTATCAAAAGCTTTTGACTGTATTCAACATAACATTCTCATGGATAAATTATACAAATATGGAGTTCATGGTATACCTCATAAGCTAATCAAATCCTATCTCAGAAATAGAAAACATGTAAAAGTAACATACACAGAAGGCAATTGCATGAAAGAATATTTGTCAAGTAGCCTCCCAGTGAGATACGAAGTTCCCCAGGGATCGGTCGTTGGCCCATTACTTTTCATCTTGTATATAAACGATATCCCACATCTAACACAAGGCAGATCAGTAATGTATGCTGATGACACATCAATACTGAATGTAGGAAAAGATATGAATGAGCTCCAAAACACGACTTCAAATAA